CACACTGACAAAGAAGATTAATCAGAACTGGCTTTGACAAGCACTGTGGCATTTGGACAAGAACAAACTGGGAGGAGGGTAGAGAGAATGGTGCAGCGGTGAATGAATGGAAACCCAAAATCTCTGTAAATGTTTATGAAAATTAATAACATATAATTATAGAAAAAAAAAGACAGTATGTGCAATATGTTGAATGATCCAAACAGCAACAAGATGGAGAGAATATAGTCACTGTTCCAGAAAAAAACTGACACTGAAAAAATGTCATATAAACAGGAGCCAATGGTAGTGCAAGAGGAAGGAGAAGCTGCACTGAAGTCATCAGCAAAAAAAAAAAAAAGATCCCAGGAATTGATGGGATACCAAATGACTTATTTCAATTAACAGATGTAGCCTTGGATGCACTCACCAGTCTAGGCCAGTAAATTTGGAGGATGACCATCTGGCCAATGGCTTGGAAGAGGTCCTTATTGTTCCCATTCCCAAGAAAGGTGATCCAACTGAATGTGGAAATTCTCAAACAGTATCATTGGTATCACATGCAAGCAAAATCCTGATGAAGATCATTTAAAACAGCTGAAACAGTACATAGATAAACAACTGCCAGAAGCTCAAGCAGGGTTTTGAAGAGGCTGTGGCACCAGGGATATCACTGCTGAGGTCTGATGGATATGGCTGAAAGGACTACCAGAAGAATGTCTTTTTGTGCTTTACTTTGCATAGTCATGTAAAGGCATTTGACTGTGTGGATCATGACAAGTTGCGGTTGACATTGAGAAGAATGGGAATGCCAGAGTATTTGACTGTGCTCATATGGAAACTATACCTGAAACAGGAAGCTGTTGTGCAAACAGCGCAGGGGAGCACTGCTTGGTTTGGAATTGAGAACGGTGTGTGCCAGGGTTGTATCCTCTCTCCATACCTATTCACTCTATATGCCAAGCAAGTTATCTGAAAAGCTAGACTCTATGATGAGGTGTGTGGCATCAGAATTGGAGGGAGACTCATCAATGACCTGCGTTATGCAGAGGACACAACTTTGCTTGCTGAAAGTTAAGGGTTGAAGTATTTATTACAGAAGATCAAGGAATGCAGCCTTCAGAAAAGATTGAATCTCAATGTCAGGAAAACAAATATAATTCCACTGGACCAACAGGTAGTGCCATGATGGAGGGAGAGGAGATTGAAACTGTCAACAGGTTCATCTTACTTGGATCCACAATTAACACCCTTGCTACCAACAGTCAGGAAATAAGGAGAAACATTGCCCTGGGAAAATCTGCACTTAGAGACCTTTCCAAATTATTGAGGAGTAGTGATATCAGTCTGTATACTAAAGTGCATTTGATTCAGGCCATAATTTTTCCAATTACTAAATATGCATCTGAGAACTAAACAATGAATAAGGATGACAAAAAAAGAACAGACACATTTGAGCTGTGGTGTTGGAGAAGAGCACTAAACATTCCCTGGACAGCCAAGAGAACGGACAGAAGTAATTTGGAGAGGGTGCAGCCAGAGTGCTCTTCGGAGGCAAGAATGTTGAGGTTTCAACTCAGATACTTTTGACATTTTGCTAGAAGGTGCTATTCCTTGAAGAGGATATGATGCTGGTAAGGCTGGAGGGTCAGTGAAGAACAGGAAGACCCTGAACCAAGTGGATTGACACGGTGATGCTGAAACGGGCTATTGTGTATCAGGAAGTGAAAGGATGGTACAGGATAGAACAGGGTTCAGATCTTTTGTTCACAGGGTCACTGAGTCATGCTCAACTTTATGGCACTAAAACAACAACACAGGAACAGATTCAAAATACATATTACAAAACACTTGAAATTTTAAAACGCTTTTATTGTAAAAGCAATACAAATAAAGTAAATGAAAATAAAGAGAAGACAAATCAACCATTTACTCCCCTGGCATCCTTCTACCACTTAGCAATTTTATTCAGTCACAGTTTTATTTTATGCATACATACAACTTTTGTAACTTATTTTTTATTAAATATAAAACTTTCTCACACTTTTTCATTTTATTACTAATTTTTAATGGGTATACTGTTTTGTACATATACACGCATACAATTTTTGTTTACACTAGACAAGCAATTGGCAAAAGGACTCAATTTGGTCCAGGTTCTGTTTTTGTACACTCCATGAGCAAAGAATATTTTTTATCCTTTTAAGGTGTAAACAGTGTGGAAACTATAGAACAATCTCACTGATTTCACATGCAAGTAAGATTCTACTGAAGATTATCCAAGAACGACTGGAAAAGCACATCAACAGAGAACTACCAGAAGTCCAGACTGGGTTTAGATGGGGTCGTGGTACTAGGGATACTGTAGCTGATGCTAAATGGATCTTAGCTGAAAGCAGAGAATACCAGAGGAATGTCTATCTGTGTTATTTCATTGACTATGCAAAGGCATTTGACTGTGGATCATAACAAACTGTGGCTGACTCTGAGAAGAATGGGAATCCCAGAACACTTGATCGTTCTAATGCGAAACCTATACTTGGACCAGGAGGCAGTCATCAGAACAGAGCAAGGGAACACTGCATGGTTCAAAATTGGGAAGGGCGTATGCCAGGGATGCATCCTATCTCCATAACTTTTCAACCTATATGCAGAATAGATTATCCGGGAGGCTGGGTTCTATGAGGAAAAATGTGGGGTCAAGATTGGTGGAAGATTTATCAACAATCTGTGTTATGCTGATGACAGAACATTGCTTGCTGAAACTGAAGAGGACTTGAAGCACCTGCTGCAGAGTGTCAAGGACTGCAGCCTACAATATGGATTGAGGCTCAATGTCAAGAAGACAAAGATTCTCACCACTGGACCAACTAGCAGCAACAGGATGGATGGTGAAAAGATGGAGATTGTACACAGCTTTAGTTTATTTGGCTCCACAGTCAATACTCTTGGCACCAGTAGCCAGGAAATTAACAGGCGCATTGCCATGGGAAAGTCTGCTGTTCAGGACCTCTCCAAAGTACTGAAGAGCAGTGGTGTCTCTCTGGAGACTAAGGTGCGTTTGATACAGGCCATGGTCTTCACAATCACTTGTTATGCATCAGAGAGTTGGACAATGACCAAGGAGGATAGAAGGAGAATTGATGCCTTTGAGCTATGGTGCTGGAGAAGAGTATTGAGAATACCATGGACTGCTAGGAAAACAAAGAGATTCATCCTTGAAAGGGTTAATTAAACCTGGTGGCTCCTTGGAGGCAAGGATTCTGAGGCTCCATCTAACATACTTTGGACATGTTGTGAGGAGGAGAGGGACATCATGCTTGGGAGGGTGGAGGGACAGCACAGGAGGGGAAGGCCCTCTAAGAGGTGGATTGATTCAGTGACTGCAATAATTGGGATGGGAGTGTCAGAGACAGTGTGATTGGCACAGGACAGAGCGGAGTTTAGGGCTGTTGTACATAGGGTCGCTATGAGTTTCAAGCGACTCGACAGCACATAACAACAACAAGGTGTAAACAGAAACAGGAATAGATGATAGTCTGTACAAGGTTTGCAAAGCCTGAAATACATACTACCAGGGCTTATTTGAAAGAAAAAAAGTAACTGGTCTCTCCCGTTAGACCATGGGTTGGAAAATTACAGTCAGGTATTTATAAATAAAGTTTTACTGCAATAAAAACACATAGCCCTTTGTTTACATATTATCGATGGCTTCTTCACAGTACAAACAACTAAGCTGAAAATGTTGAGACAGAGAATACACAGCCTTCAAGACCTAAAACATTTGGTACCTAGCCCTGTAAAGAAAAAGTTTCTTGATCCTAACCCTATTTTAAAGTCGTTCACAATTTAGGGTATTATAAGCCATGCTACTAAGAACATCTGTGTGCATATAACTCATATTTTGGGTAACTTAATTGGGAAATATTAAGAGAAGTAGAATAACACTGTAGTTAATATAGATGCTTTAAAGCTGATAGTGCTCTACACTATCTCTTCTAATATTCTAAGAATGAAATTAACAAGTTGGTAACTTAAAAAAGGAATGAAAGATCAAGTAATTATCTCATCCCTATTAATTTGACATATGACTTTATAATCTAAAGGAGGTTCATGAAAGTCAATCAGAAAGGAACAAAAAGAGTAGCCTCAATATTAAAATAAATGAAATCTTTTTCTTTGTACTGTGGGATGATTAAGAAGATAGAAGGAAACTCACCAAGTGTCAAAGTGTATATAAGGGAAACGGAAAGAGTTTGTTCTTAAAAACAATGTTTTCGAATTTTGTATATAAACTAGTAGACAAAAGGCATCAGGAAAAGCTGAGTAAACAAAAGAGGTTGACAACTCAATGAGTCAGCAGGGGGATCAATGAACAGGGGCAACTATGAGTGTGGGATGACAAATGAAATGCATGCTGCACCTTTCTGAATGTATCTTTGGCATAAGCATGTATCAAACTCTAACTTAAACTGTTTAAACTTAATAAAGTTCTAGAAAACAGTATTTTTTTAACAAAAATATTCTATCTGAAAACATTTATTCCTTCTAAAGAAAACCTATGGAATGGACCAGCTAAAGCAACTCTTATCTCTGTGATGGAAGATAAAGCAAGCGGATGGATTTCAAGTCCAACTGGCATATTTTTCTTCTTCTAAGTGAAGTATTCTGCAATATGAAAAAAAAAAAATTAGGATAGACTTTTCTCTCAGTAAATAATGTAATTTAAGAGCAAACTTAGAAAAGCATTTAGTATAAAAAGAAACACAATTAGAACAAAATATATAAAACAATTATGCATACTTGATTTATTAAAATGTACCTGTCAAAATGTCAGCCAATGTAACATTTCATTAAAATACATTCCTTAGGTTAAAACTATTATTATCTACCCTAAAACTAGAACTGCCACACAAACAGATATATGCTCACTAATGTTTACTGTGGCTTTGTTTACGATAGCAAAGAGTTGGAAACAACTCAAATGGCTATCAAAAAAGGAATAGAGAAGTTGTGGTCTATTCACACAATGGAATATTATGCTGCATTGAAAAACAAGGAACTTATGAAATACTATACATAATGGGTGACCCTGGAGGACACTATGCCGAGTGAAATATTTCAGTCAGAAAAGGACAAATACTACATAGTGCCAGTGTTGTAAAGCAGGACTGACATTGGAATTTGGGGGAAACTAAGAGGGGATTGAAACACTGCATTGAAACAGATGAGGGAGAGAACTGTTTAGGAGTAATATACGATCAGGTATTATTGTCATGAGAAGAGTCCAGAATGAAACCAGCATAGTGGAGTGGACTGGGAGGGGAGGGGATTGTATAGCAATTAAAGATTTTTTTTTTCTTTTATTTTTTTTTTACTTTTCAAAGAGAAAAGCGAACTAAGGGGTAGGGGTGGGCAGGGAGGAAAGTGTGCAACAATGAATGAATGGAAATTTTTAAAAAAATTAACAAAAAAACTATTATTAATCTTTATATTCCATCTCAGTTATTTATTAAATAACACATAACTATGAATGTCTCTATAAAACAATAGAATAAAATTATTTCTGTAGGAATACCTAGCAACATATTACTTTGAACAAAATATAGCCAGTCTCCTGAGTTATGAAATAAAATTTTTTTCCCTTGAATTTCTTCAGACTGTGAAGGAGGCTGATAGGATTTTCAATGGCTCGAGTATAATGAAAATCCCTTACCTTTCAGTTACCTCAAAATTGAACTGTGGATCCGACAGCATAAACCCGTCAGTGAGCTTATAATAGACTATTGTGGAATCAGACTCCACAATGGCCAAAAGAAATGATATTGGCAAATCTGGGTCACCTTGCAATTTTCGAGATGCCTTTAAGATTTCTCTTATCCTAAAAATAAAGTCACAATGCATTTAGGATGCACAGAACCACTCAATTAATGACAAAATAAAATACCATAACACCATGGAGAAGGGTGAAGACTTCCATTTTTGCAGGTTCAATAATAGCTTCCACCAAAAGGTAAAGTGCTGGTACCTGTGCTGTCACTGGGTGCCACTAATTGAGTTCCAAAGCACAGCAACCCATGTTTTAAAATAAAATGGAAAAAAGCTCCAGTCCTCCACCATCTGCACAATCACTGCTACACTTGACCTACTATTGCTGTTACTGTGTCAATTTAGCCAACTGAGGGTTTTCCTTTTATTCTCAGACTCGACTATGCATGATGTCCTTCCCCAAGGCCTGACCCTCCCTAATTGCAGGTCCAAGGTAAGACAAAGTCTCACCAACATTGTTTCTAGAAAGCATTCTGGCTGCACTTCTTTCAAGACAGATTTGCTTGTTCTTCCGGCAACCTATGGTATGTATATTCAATATTCTTTGCCAAAAATCACAATTCAAATGTACCAATTCTTTTTCTTTGTTTTCCTTGTTCACTGTCTAGCCTTTGTGCATATATGAAACAGAAAAACCATGGGTTGTGTAAGGATGCATCTTAGTCCTCTGTTGTTGCTGAGTACCATCGAGGTGGGCCCATAGCTGATGTTCCAGCGGGTTTTCAGAGGCTATGAAACACACGGAAGGAGACTGCCCATCTTTCTCCCATGAAGCAGCTGGTTGCCTCAAATCACATGCATTCAGGATTGCAGTGTAGTTTCTTATCACCAGGCCATCAGAGCTCCCCAACTTAGTCCTGTGACACTTTCACTTTTTTTTTTTCTACCACACCAAAGACAAAGGAGGACTCTAAGCTGCAGGAGAAAAAGTGAGGGGAGGGGAGGCTCTGTGCCGAGAGCTCTTTCCATTGCTTGTGGGGAGATGGGACTGAGGTGTCCCTAGGGTTATAGGTCCCTCCACCTGGAGGTTCTTACCACCGTGGCTCCAGGGCCATCTCAGGATCCAAACAGGATGAAAGACTTAAGTATAGAGAACTTTAAGCAGAGGAAATAATTTAATTTTTTAAAAAAAATTTTATTATTTTGTGTGTGTACCGTCAAATCGGATCTGACTGGTACAGGAGGAGACTGTCCCTCCTTCTCCAGCAGAGGATCTGATGCATTTGAACCACAAACCTCTGGGATTGCAGCGCAGTTTCTTGCCACTAGGCCACCAGAGCTCCCTAGGAAAGAATTTTTGTAACTCTCTGCAAGGGGAGTTGAGGGGACTTGAGACCTCCTATACGCAAGCTGCTTGAGATGGTAGCCCTGATCTCTAATCTCATGCCACTCCAGTAGAAAAGGCGCATGAGAAAATACTTTCATAGAGCACCTGGTCTCACACCACTCATCCACTTCTTACAAGAAGGGGGCCTATAGAGTTGGTGTCAGGGGACTACATCAAGGTAAGATTACTACAGGGCTGCAATGAAGAAGAGAGAGAACTTCAAAGACTTTGTTGTTATTGTTATGTGCCGTCTAGTCACTTTTGACTCATAGCGACCCTATATACAACAGCCCTGCTCTATCCCTTGCCAATCTTATTGTCTCTGACATGCCTATCCCCATTACCCCAGTGACAGAATCCATCTAATCGAGGGTCTTTTCTGCGCTGTTCCTCCACCCTCCCAACCATGATGTCCCTCTACAAGGACTGGTCCCTCCTTGCAATATGTACAAAGTATGTCAGACGAAGCTTCAGAATGCTTGCCTCCAAGGAGTAACCTGGATTTACCCTCTCCAGGATGAACTTGTTTTCCTAGCAGTCCATGGTATATTCAATACTCTTCTCCAGCACCACAGCTCAAAGGCATCAACTCTCCTTCTATCATTCCTAGTCATTGTCCAGCTCTCTGAAGCACAAGTTATGGCAAAGACTGGCCTGTATGAGGTGTACCTTAGTCTCTAGACTGACATCGTTGCTACTCAGTACCTTGGAGAGGTTTCTGACAGCAGACTTTCCCAATGCAATTCGCCTTTTAATTTCCCGGCTGCTGATGTTGAGAGTGTTGACTGTAGAGCCAAGCAAACTAAAGCTATCAACAATCTCAATTTCTTAACCATCTATCATGATGCTGCCAATGGGCCCAGTGGTGAAAATCTTTGTTTTCTTGATGTTGAGCTTCAATCTATATTGAAGGCTGCAGTCCTTGACCTGTTGCAGCAAGCACTTGAGGTCCTCCTCAGCTGCAGCAAGCAAAATTGTGTCATCTGCATAATGCAGATTGTTGATAAGTCTTCCTCCAATCCTGATGCCACACTTCTCTTAATAGAGCCCAGCCTCCCTGCTATTCTGTTCTACATACAGATTGAAAAGATATGGAGATCGGACACATCCTTGATGCACACCCTTCCCAATTTTGAACCATGCAGTGTTTCCTTGCTCTGTCCTGACCACTGCCTCCTAGTCCAATATAGGTTTTGCATTAGCATGATCAAGTGTTCTGGGATTCCCATTCTTCTCAGAGTCAGCCACAGTTTGTTGTGATCCACCCAGTTAAACGTCTTTGCATAATCAATGAATCACAGATAGTCATTCCTTTGGTACTCCCTGCTTTCAGCCAAGATCCATCTAACATCAGCTACAATATCCCTTGTACCACGACCCCTTCTAAACCCAGCCTGCATTTCTGGCAGTATTCTGTTGATGTGCTGTTCCAATAGTTTTTTTATAACCTTCAGCAGAATCTTGCTTGCATGTGATATCAATGGTATTGTTTGATAATTTCCATACTCTGTTGGGTCACCTTTCTTTGGTATGTGAACAAATGTAGATCTCTTCCAGTTGGCCAAGTCATTGTCCTCCAGATTTCCTGGCACAGCTTGGTGAGCACATCTAGGGCAGCATCTGCTAGTTGAAACACATCAATTGGTATACCATCTATTCCTGCAGCCTTAATTTTTGTCAATTCCTTCGAAGAAGCTTTAACTTCTTCCTTAATCACCATAGGCTCTTGCTCATATGTTGTTTCATGAAATTCTTCTGTATTTGCCAATTCCTTTCAGTACAGTGACTTTATATACTCTTTTAATCTTCTTTTAATACTTCCTGGATCATCTCATGTTGTATCCAAAGCATGCTTAAGTATAACAACTCCAGGTTTGAATTTGTTCTTCAGTTCCTTGAGCTTAAGAAATGCTGAGTTTGGTCCTTTTGATTTTCTGACTCCAGTTCCTTGCACATTTCACTGTAATATTTTACTTTGTCTTCCTGCGCTGCCTTTTGAAATCTTCTGTTCAGCTCTTTAATATCGTAAATTCTCCCCTCTGCTTTGGCTTCATGGCACTCTAGTGTAATATTCAGAGTCTCTTCTTACATTCATTTTGGCATCTTTTTCTTCCTCTGTCTTTTTCAGGCCTTTTTGCACTCTTCCTGGATGATGCTTTTGATATCCTCCCACAACTCATCTGGTCTTTGCCCATTGGTATTCAAGGCCTCAAACCTGTTCCTGAGATGGCTCTGAAATTCAGGAGGGATAGACGCAAGGTCATATTTTGGTTCCTGTGGATTTGATTTCATTTTCCTTAGCTTCAGCTTGAACTTGCATATGAGTAGCTGGTCTATGTTCCACAATCAGCACCTGATCTAGTTTTCACAGCTGATATTGAGCTTAGCCAGCGGTTGTTTCCACAGATGTAATCAATCTGATTTCTATGCATACTATTAGGCAGCATCCATGTGTTTGTTTTTTATAAAATGTATTTGATTGTGTAAAATTCAATCATTCTATCCCCAGTTTCATTTCTGTCACCAAGTCAATGTTTTCCAACTACTGATCCTTCTCCTCTGTTCTCAACTTTTGCTTTCCAGTCACTCATTATTATTAATGCATCTTGATTGCATGTTCAATAGATCTCTGACTGTAAGTAGAAGTCTTCTATTTTCTCTTCTCTGGTTCTGGTTTTTGGTCCATATGAACAGGGGTCAATGGTAATGAAGAAGGAAGCAGAAACTGAATTGAAGGCATTGGCAAAAAATAATACCCCAAGTATCAATGGGATACCAATTAACTTGTTTCAATTAACAGATGCAGCTCTGGATGCACTCAACAATCTATGCCAGGAAGTTTGGAGGACATCTGTCTGGCCAAGAAATTGGAAAAGATCCGTATTTGTTCCCATTCCCAAGAAAGGTGACCCAACAGAATGTGGAAAATATCAAACAATATCATTAATATCTCACGCAAGCAAAATACTGCTAGAGATCATGCAAAACTGGCTAGAATAATACACAGATAAGGAACTACCAGGAGTTCAAGCAGGATTCTGAAGAGGCCATGGCATCAGGGATAGCACTGCTGAGGTCAGATGGCTCTTCGCTGAAAGTAAAGAATACCAGAAGAATGTCTATTTTTGTTTTATTGACTATGCAAAGGCATTTGACTGTGTGGATCAAAACAAGCTATAGCTGATATTGGGAAGAATGGGAGTCCCAGAGCACTTAATTGTGCTCATGCAAAACTGATACCTGGAGCAGGAAGCTGTTGTGAGAGCAGAGCAGGGGAAGACTGCATGGTTTAAAATTAAGAAGAGAATGTGTCAGGGTTGTAGTCTCCCTCCATACCTATTTAAACTGTATGCTGTGCAAATTATTCAAGAAGCTGGACTCTATGAAGAGGAATGTGGAATTAGGATCGGAGGGAGACTCATCAATAACTTGCATTATGCAAGTGACACATCTTGCTAGTTCAAAGTAAAGAGCACTTGAAGCACTTGTTGCAGAAGATCAAGGAATGCAGACTTTAGTATAGATTGCATGTCAATGTCAAGAAAACAAAAAAAATTCTATGAAAAAATTCATAGGCCACATCATGATGGATGAAGAGGAGACTGAAACTGTCACCTTACTTGGAGCTTCATCTTACTTGGATCCATAATTAACACTCTAGGTGTGAGCAGTCAGGAAATCAGGAAACGCACTGCACTGGGAAAGTCTGCAGTTAGAGATCTCTT